AGCCAGGCTATTCGGAAAAAGAGCACTGTATAGGTATATTTTGAGCAGAAAGGTAGTGTTGTTTGTTGTTTTTTTATTATTTTAAAAGTATAGGGTAGGTTGGATCCGCAGCAACCTGTCCTAAAACTGCTACCTCCACTGCTTCGTTTCTTACTGGGTTTTCAATTTGACGTGTTTTATTTGCCACGGATCTCGTTTGTCGAAATTTTGAAGTTAGTTCCAAAACGTATTTACGATGTACGTTTTTGTTTGGGTGTTGCTCATTGAAAATTATACTTGCTTTGTTGGCACATTCATCATTTTTGAAATGATATTCAATTACTTCTACCCTATCCTGAATAGAATAAACCATTTTTTATTTCACTCGTTAATGTGCCTGACGTACTACTGCCAAGAAACTGACACAAATGAGCACTGAAACAAAAGGTTTTTTATTATACCAATACATAGGCGTAGTAAGTCAATTGTTATTCCAAAGGTACGAATGTCATGCGATGATTGGATTATGTGATTTTTTCAATTGTTGTTCTTTTTTCGTGAATTGTTCACTCCCGTTTGTGGGAGAGATGAAAATATTGTATATGTACCAACTCTGTAATTAAGAGAAATAGGCAATAAAGAGTTTAGAGTTTGAGTTATAAACTGGAGTACACAGGTTGAAATCCTACAGATTTTTTTTTAAACAGAACAGATTTGTAATTTANGAATAAAAAGGTCAGCTGCTGCTTACAGCTGAGCGAAAAATGAAAGAACATGAGAGCCAGGCTATTCGGAAAAAGAGCACTGTATAGGTATATTTTGAGCAGAAAGGTAGTGTTGTTTGTTGTTTTTTTATTATTTTAAAAGTATAGGGTAGTAGAATAGATAAGTTAATATGTAATATGAGACAAATAGAAAAAGCGCGGTATATGTATATTTTGATCATAAATGTAGTTTCTTGTTTGTGTTTTTATTATTTTAAAAGTATAGGGTAGTAGAATAGATAAGTTAAGTTGATATGAAATATCTGTTATTGGAAATATAATTTATGTTGTATTATATTTGGGAATTAAAAAAAAAGTGTCGTCTTCTTCCTCGCTGATTCGTCCTTCCGCGTTGTCGACGTTCTGCGTCGATGACGTGTGAAGGAGGTAAGTTGGGAGGAGTAGGGGTTCCCTTGACAGTGGTAGCGCTGGATAGAGGGATGATGCTCAGTTGAAAGGCTTTCGGCCAGGGCTATGAGAGCAACGGCACTTTCATGTCCCATAGAGCATGTTTTAACAAAATACACGAGATAAATTCTTCATTATCAATTTCCATTTGGTATTGGTACTATAATATTTTTCTACACAACACAACTGTTATCGCGATGATTATCACAGTAGTTTGTTCTCGTCGCTTCCGCGCCGCCGTCGCTCTCCTCCCGCCCGTACATCACTCGATTGCTCCGCCCCGCCATCGCTCGTTTCGTGCGCGTCACTTATACTGTAGATGAAGATGTATGCATCGCCGTCGCGACGCCTGGATATCGTTGATTCAGTGGTATGTCTACTGCGTCACCTGCAGACAAAGTCTGGAAACAACTCCACAAACACATATTTCGTGGTGGGAGTCAGAATGATAATTGAATATCTTCCAGAGAAATGCATATATCATGCTCAAGTTCAGGTGAAAACACCATACCTTTGCCTTTCATGTGACTCTACGATTTCGAAGGTACGTGTGGCAGATACCCGACGAAAAAACAACAACTAATCCAGCTAATGCCGCGCAAAAAGCTGAAGTAAAACCATCAGGCACCTGTGCAACGTCTTCCATTTGACAGATTCGTCCCCAGTAACTATGCCTGCAGTTGATTCAATCAATGTACCACTGCGTCACCTGCAGACAAAGTCTGGAAACAACTCCACAAACACATATTTCGTGGTGGGAGTCAGAATGATAATTGAATATCTTCCAGAGAAATGCATATATCATGCTCAAGTTCAGGTGAAAACACCATACCTTTGCCTTTCATGTGACTCTACGATTTCGAAGGTACGTGTGGCAGATACCCGACGAAAAAACAACAACTAATCCAGCTAATGCCGCGCAAAAAGCTGAAGTAAAACCATCAGGCACCTGTGCAACGTCTTTTATTCGGAAGATTCGTCGTGAGTGAGCTGAGCTGATTCCGGCACCTGGGGGGGGGGGACTGAAATTTCGTAGGCATTTGAAGCGCTTTATGTGGTGGAATTGGCCGATACGTGATAAAAATCCATAATGTATTCAAGAATCACTTTATTGTGGGATTTTCACTGGACAGTTAACAAAACCGCACCACGTTTTCGCTATACCATAGCTTCTTCAGGCGTGTCCATACAACTATTGAATACCGAAACATTGGTTGTTTATACGCCACGCCTGGGGAAGCTATTATATAATACGGGTTCGTAAAGTGTCCAGTGAAAATTACACAATAGAGTGTGTGATTTCATGTTTTTCAAATAAAAAAACTGAAGTAAATGAAATAGCTCACTTTGAATTATAATTATCACTTAAAATCAATTTTGAATGAAGACTTTCGAAGAAATATCAGTGATAATATACAGTTAACAACTGGATATTTCTGAATTCATTTTGCATTAGGGCCTCGTTGGAAACTTACGTTATCGTATGAAATAATAGAGATAGTCATATTTGAAATGGCGCAGCGGGAACTGTCAAATGTATATGAAAAGTGTATTTAAAGTTTTACACATATGTCACTTGACATATGTGCGCTATCACTTCTATATCACTCGACACTTATCATCTGTCGTCTGTCAAATCAGTGTCAACTGCCAGAAAAAGCCGACAGATGCCACTTTTCATCTGTCATTTGCCACGTCTCATTTGTTCAATCAATTAATTTCAACATAAAAATTTTTTAAAATAATATAAAGAATATGCTGAGAAAGAAAATGAAGAGAAATTTCGCTTTTCAACCTTCAACATGATAACATATCTTTACGTTCCACGAAAAAATAAGCATTTCCGGTATGGAAAAATCATCGTAGATGATTATTTCGAATTCGTTCCTTATGCCAAGGATATTTCGAATCCGTCAAAGTCAAACCACTTTCGGTTTCAACTTCTGGTCGTCGGGCTCTGTTGCAAGTGGTATCATTGGAATCGTTTGTGAATCAAGAAACACAATTAATCATTTTCTGAAGTCATAAGGACCTTATTTATAACGTATTTTCATTATGAAGGGTGTAATATTTGTTTCAAATGATTTCATTTCTAGAATTAAAGAAATCATGATATCAAGCGTCAAAAATAACAAAGCGTTGAAAAATCGAAAACCTATAAATATTCGGAAATTGAAGGTAGGTTTATGAGCAGCCATAACAATTTCAATTTTTTAGTAGCAGTTTGGATTACAAGCATGCCTGAGCGAAGTGAAAACAGGAATATATGAGTTAACTGGTAGATATTCAAAATATAACATGAATAAAATAACTTTTGTCTGATTTCTAGTTTTCTATTACGACCTGTTTCGGTTGATTAAACCATTCTCAAGTAACGATTATCAAGCAGTCCAACAAGCTCTTTGCTCGAATAGTATTGTTCAAGTTTATTGCTTCAGTTTAAAAAATGGACATTTATCTGAGAAAACTACTACATCGAGTGGTATTGTAAAAAATATTTCCTCAAATATTCTCAGCTGAATGCATCAATAAAATAACTTATAATCAATTTTCAAATCAAATCAATTTCATAACCTGAATAACGAGAAATTTCAATGTTTGTATTTATTTGAAAGTACAATAATTGAAAATACAACGTTCGAATATATGAACAAAGTGAGCAAATGACTAAACTCGTATTATTCATCAATAGGATTTCATCGTGCCTTGACATGAGACCGCATCAATAAGTTTCGATTGAAATTTCTCACATAAATTGTTGGTATTCAAGGTGTGGCATTTTATTTTTCATTTCCGTCTCTTGAAATTGTTCATTGTATTGGTGAGTTTTATTTGATTCATATATTCATTTGAATTCTCCGTAGAGTTAGTGTGTAGTCACTATCATAGTCATAATATCAAATTGAACTTGTGAATTTCTATGGAAGATGTGAAGTTTAAATATTTGAACATTTGATTTCATTGTATCAATTTGATGAGGACGATGACAATAATTGAAATAGTGAGAATGATCCATAACTAGGACCTGATCCAAGAATGAGAATAACCACCATTATGAAACACTCTCTCACAACCATGAATATAACACCAGATCTGGCGACTTATTGAAAATACCCAAACTGAGTTTGACAACTTCCAAAATAAATTCTTTGAAAATCTATATGATAAAATTTCGTCAAACTCAAGAAGCTTTACTTTCAATCAATTCAAAATCAGAATGTGACAATATTTTGGATTTAGATGTTTTTATGTGTAGAAGAATATTTACAATATAATTATAACATAAAAGAAGGAAATGTTAGTTGTTTATCTTTCGGTATCGAATATCGTTTTAAATTAACGATATTGTTAGCATCTTTGTAAAATTATTTGTATGTGCTACATTAATTACTAGCGACCCGCCCCGGCTCCGCATGGGTGCAATGCTGATACTAAATATAAATTCATCCACCGGAAATTTAAGGGCATGGAAAAACAGTGATAAAAAGGTAACTTTATTTTCTGAACGCGCCTTTTTCCCCCGCGGCTGGCGCCCCTTTTGGAATATTAGAAAATCCCTATTGCAAATTTACAACATGAAACGAACCTACATACAAAATTTCAGTCTCTGAAAATATAGCGGTACGGACAAACAGTGATGAAAAGGAAATGCAAACGCGCCCTTTTTATCTCCAGTGGGGGGTCTCAATTGGAATATTCATCAATCTTGTCTTATTGCACGTCTTTAACATAAAACGAACCTTCTTAATCCAAAATTATTTTCCAAATATATTTTAAAGTAATGTGATTGTGTATTGATGCATATAATCATAAATTTAATGGGTTGCAATCAATTTTAGTTTTATTTACCTGAAAGGAGCGATATCAACGCAGCCAAAATAAATGCTAGATTTGTAGCAGGTCCTGACGTACTTTTTGCCAGGGATCCTGCAAGAACATATAGTCCTAATCCCAGTGCGGATCCAACTCCAAGAGCAACTAAATCCATTAATTTCATTACTCTTGCCAAGCGATTAGGTTCTTCATTGTGAATATTTTTTCTTCGAATAATAGCTGAGAGGAATTCCTGAATCATCTGAAATGAAATCAATTTAATCAATTATTATAACAATATTGATACTTTCAATATCCACAATAGCTTTCAAGTTTCCTCACTTTAGTGTCAAAATTGTATTTTCTAGAGGTTTTTTTTTTGGTATCCGTATCGATTAATATGATCACTGACTACGTGTTCAGGGAAGGTTATGTTAATAATTTCAGAGCCACCTAGGGAGCATCATAACCATTGGGAGTAATGTCAGAATTGCATCATAGAAGAATCATTTCACCTTCAACCAGATAAAAAATTTTTGGTAGGAGGGGATCTTCGGATCGTGAAACGGGTACAATTGCGCTAATTCACCACTCGAGAACTGGGGTTATGAATATTGTTACGCCCTCGGATTTTTTCGGTGAGAAGAAATCACATTTGTGAATTAACAACTATGCATTCAATGATCCAATGCTTGCTGATAGTTCAATATCGTTTTGAACTGGGTAACTTCAACTGCTATCACTGTCATTTTTGGACTAATAACTGACTGATTTAGGAGACTCCGCATCAGTAACGGGCAGGTAGTGATGATAGGCAAGTACCCCAAAACCGGTCTATCTGTTGGTCGGTTTCATAGTGGAAAGTAACTTGCGTCACCAGCGGAAGCTAAAGTTTCACTTCAGCTTTCTGCGCTGCATTAGCTGGGTTAGTTGTTGTTTTTCCGTCTGGTATCTGCCACACGTAGATACCTACAAAGTTGTAGGTCTACATGAGAGGCAAAGGGTAATGTGTTTTTCACCTGAACCTGGAGTATATTATTATTCTGATCCCAACCGCGGAGTATGTGTTTGTGGAGTTATTTCCTGGCTTTGCCTGTAGGTGGCGCAGTGGACATCGCACTGAATCAACTGCGGATGAAGTTTATAACTAGTTCGAATTAGTTTTGTTTGTTCGGGATACTAGGACGGTTCACTTCGTCTCAAGTGACCTGCCCGGTACAGATGAAGAGGCAAGTACCCCGAAACCGGTCTATCGGTTGGTCGTACCGACCAAATGAAATTAATTTCCGCTTTTCATAGTGGTAAGTAACTTGCGACGAATCTTGCACATGTGCCTGATGGTTTTACTTCAGCTTTCTGCGCGGCATTAGCTGGGTTAGGCTCTCCATCGATTTCAATCCACTCATTCGATTAGATTCNTATTTAATTCTCAGAGATAGTGTGCGCTTCACTTCTTTGTGCAATGCGATAGCTAACTAAATGTGATGCCTCCATAGTCTTTTCATTGATAGTAAGGGGTTACATGCCTTGTAGTTTTTTTTATCTTCATACTCGGGGTGTACAGTTTCTAAATGTCGGCAACTTGCCAGTTGTCATGGAACTATTAGGAAACAGTTTACTACGCAGCATGCAGAAAGGCGTGCCGTTAGAATAAAAAAATCCGAAACTGAAATATGATTTATCATACTTCTTTTTTTTTTTCGCCTTTGAAACCATGGAACTTGTCGTTACATCATCGTTTGGATCGGTAACTGCTTTATATTTCGCGCGTACTGTTTTTGAACATTCGGCTTTGATAAAAAATATTATTGCAACACATTTAACGCCTTCAAGCCAACGCTCCTTTCCTTTTTTTGCATTGTTACATGTCAGGATGGAGGGGTCGAAAATAATGCACGATAGTCACTGCGTGGGAGAGTTAGTCCAAATTAGAAATATACAAATCTGATACAATCAGAATACAGCAGTAGAACAATGTAAACTTCGTTTCTAGCAGGTAGGTACTTATCGCTCCGAATGGTAATCGTCGACCACAACCTAGAGATGGGTCCAAAAGAACCAAACTGGTTTTTCGGAACAAGTATCAGGCAACTGTTCGGTGAACCTGTTATTTTCAATGAACTGAACTTGATCAGATGGTGAGTGGCTATTCCAAATACGTTTGCGCAGGTTGGTGCTGGAACTTAATGACGGGATCGCTCTGTGGCCTGTGCTCTCGGCTGCACTGAGCACTGACAAGTCAAAATTGTTTTCCATGAAATTTTGAACAGAAAAAATGCAAAACGAAATAATTAAATACCTACCTGTTGCAAAATTGTGGGTCCCTGTGATTTCTCCTCAACGTGGGTTTTCACTGTTCCTTCAGTGAGTAGAATTTTTACCGTGGGGTATTTTTAAGCATATGACGCTTTAAATTTGTCACGAAAGATTTGAAGGAAATAACATGCTTGCAAATTTCACATGTTGCTAGTTGCAGTTGTTTCTCTGTGATTGAAAAACATTCAAATAGGGCTTGATCTAAACAGGCTTGATCTAACAGGCTTGATCTAAAATCCAGCCTGTTACTGAAAAAAAATTCTAGAACAACAAATCGAATGGAGGGAAAGTACGGAAATTCGAAATCACTCGGAACCGAACGCTAAAAAGTGATCATGACGCAAGATGAGACGTCATTCAAGAATAGGTGAACATGAACAGTTAAAAAGAACAGATTTTCGATAAGAACTGGAACAGTTCTAACAAGTTTTTCAAATTTAACTATTCAGTGCCATCTCTACCACGAACCACTTAGTAAGTCAAGACAGTGAGTACGAAAGAGTGGCACGATTTCGTATTTTTGCCCCGTGGGAACGTAGCTTAAGTGTAACGGGAAAAACTGTTGTGAGCGTGATCGTTGTAAGCGCTTAGTGGAACGCACCCATAATTAAACTTGTAGGACTTTTTTTGACAGCATCATATTAACCTCTGACCTGAATTCATTCTAAAAACTGTTAAATTATATCTTCATCAATGTCAGAGAATTCACGAGAAATGAAGATGTTCATGCATATCCTACTAGTGGTTATTATAACCTTCCCACGCAAATAGTTAATTTGAGTCAGTAAAAGGAAAACCAAACAACATTCCATAAATTCAAAACATTCCTGAAAAAAAAATCATTTTATTCGTTATATAACAGTTTTATGCCATGAATTATGTCGAATTTNCCCATAGTACGCTATGGAGTTGTATAGATACTCCAGAAATGCACGGCAAAGGATATTGGAAAGTTATTTGGAGAAGCATAATATCGTAATCTTCAACACTGGCGAATATACCCATTAATGTGCATCAACAAGACATTTCATTCTTCATTATTAACACATAATTTGAATTGGGAATTATTACCAGATTTATTTGGAAGCGACCACTTTTCGATCTTACTGTCAATTCAAGTTGTCCAAACAAGTAAGTAGCGGCTGAAGCGCTGCTGGCTAACATGGGAAGCTGATAGGGACAAATTCCATCATCTGAAGATGAAAATATTTCTACTCGCCTGGATAATATCATCAACAGTATCATCACGACAGCAAAAGAAGCAATCCCTCAGTCTATTGTGGTATTGATGAAAAAAAAATCTTATGAACCCCAGTTGGAATATTGGAAAATCCTTCCTTACTGCGCATCTAAGACCTGAAAAGCATCTATATACGGAGAAACAGAGATGTATGGGTAAGTGTTAAGTGAGTGTCTTTTGCATTTATAAGTACAGATTTAAAACGTTCTTCATTTTTTTACCCAAAAAGGAAAAATAAATCATTTTTGTCTAGGCACCAAGTCATGATGGTATTAAAGGAAATGAAAAGACATAAAAGGCTGCGAAAGCTGCCAGGGAACCTGAACAATAAGATATTCCAATCAATGTTTCGGATACCCGCATACATATGGCCCATCAGCTCAACGAAAACGGGCAAAACATCTGAGGAAATTTCAACTCAAAACCATCACAGATCGAAAAGACAGTTTTCATCTGGAAATATCCTGATGGTATATATAGCCAGGACCAAGTTGACTTAGCTCGTTTAAGAGTAGGGAAAACTGAATAAACCTTATCATCTATTCAAAAAACAGACATTATTATGTGATTTCTACTGTTGACGTCACAATTGTCACGATAATTCTATCGTATAGCAAAACATGTGTCGCGGTTTTCTAAAGTTTCAAGTTTTAATGGATTTTTATCAAGTATCGGTCAGTTCTATCATATTTTTAAACTTATCATATCTGATGAAGGTGGAGATTATATGAGATACGTCATACACCTTTATCCGTTGAGCTTATATTTGTCAATTGTTTCAAGTATAATAATGTCAGAGCCCAGTTGAACCTAGCAGATGACTTGTTGATAATTCTTCCCAACGACCTCATTTGTGCTACCGAAAAAGACTGAAATTCTGCGATGTTATTGGCATATCTGAATGAACATGATCAGAAAATTGAGAGATTCGCGGCGAAATGACACCAGTCATCGATGCCGAGAAATTACAAAAAAACACCACCTCACCATAAAATTCCGTATAGAAGTTGTGACAGTGTTAGCGAAAATAAATCATTTTTAATTGTCTGATATCCATAAAATCTGTTAGACATATAAATTTCGGAAGAAAACCTCTCAGCTTTTTGAGAAGTTGTTCCATGTGTAAATTCACTTTTATATCAAGCAATCGTGACACCAAAATAATTCACCGATATTGTTGAAATTTGTTTGTTTAAGTTTACATTGGGAGGGTCTGGGTTTGGTGATCCGTTAATATAAGATGTGAATGATATATACCAAGTTGTAATTAGTAGTTGATTAATTAGATTGGAACCGTTCCGAATTTTTTTTGAAAATAATTTCCAACGGTTTGTTTCATATTTTGCCAATTTGAATATACAAAATGGCAGTATTATCGGCAAAATTCATAGTTTGACTAGATATGGTGAATAAAAGTGGCCCCAGTACAGTGCTCAGAGGGACACCATAATTTGTAACACATGATTATCGTCTTGAATGCCAAGTCACCATAGTGCCAGTTATCAGTATGAAATAAGTGGTGAAATTCTTGTAATTTGTACGTACTCTGAAGGCCACTTTCCACCTCTGGATTATTTGCGAATCTACTAACTTGACTAACTACAAACATTATATTAAGATATGAAACAACAAATCTACTAACTTGACTAACTACAAACATTATATTAAGATATGAAACAACAAACAGTAACGGAACGACAGTACTACGTATTGAATCTTTTCAAAATTTTAA